ACCTTCAATCTACCAAAGCCCTCTAATCTTGCTCACTGCACATATTCCTGTGGACTTTTGCATTGATGTTGGTTTCGCCCCTCTGTTGCCAGCTCGGGTTGATCTCGTGCGAGCTCAGGAGATGAGTTTGTTGGACACCAAACGGCGGATGGTTGGTGGGTGCGGCTCAAGCTGGCCTCGGGCCAGTACTTGCTCTCGCGGGGAGAGGGCCGCATTGCCGAATATCGGACTGTGGAGGCCAAGGACGGGGAAGCGAGAGCCATTTCGAGGATTGAGCAAATGGGTGTGTCTGTTTTGAGGGGAAGGACTAAAATGGTGGTTTTCCTTTGGGTGTTCCTTTAAAACCAACCCGGAAAAGGGGTACCCTCAAAAAAAGGCACACCCAAATGAGCATGCCTGAAGTGAAGGGGAACCCCCCCAGACTTCGGGTGGTCCTTTCGGTTGCAAACTAGGGGGTCAAAAACACTGGGGACCCCAATGAGCTTAGCTTTGCATGTTCCATCGATTCGAGGAGATCGCGGCCCAGGTCCTCGAGCTGCCGGCGCTGTGACCGCGTTGCCCGTTCGTTCAGTGTTTGCTGGGATTCGACCGCGGAGAGAATGAGAAGATCCATGGTTTCCAACTCCCCCCCTCCCGAATGCTGCGTGAGAAGCCCATCTGCGAAGAGCGCGACCTCGGCTTGGCCTACCACTCCGTGAGCGCAACGCGCCGCAGGTCCGTTCCGAGCCGCAGGTCCGTTACGGCAGCACAGCGGCCTACGGCCCAAAATCGGCGTGAAGCTGCTGACCGAATCTCAAGTTTTGTCGACTTTTGTCAAAGCTATGAGTTGGGCCCCGTTGCCTCAAATTCGGATCAACCCGGAGGGCCTATAGTCAGATGTACGCCCCTCTGGAGAAGTCCAAAGCTAACATGAAGGAGATGTGGGTCCCAAAAGCAGGCCGTGTCACATCAAACCACAACACTGGCAAATGTGAGCTGAGTAAAGTATAGCTGATGGTGGGTGCTTCCCACCTCAACCACCAAGAAGGTGTCTAACTTGTTATTTCCTGTCGAATCAAAGTGTCTTTATGTTTGTGTTTCAATTGAGTGGTGCCCATTGTTTCCTTTTCGCTTTAAATTCAACGGCCAAAAGAAGGTCCCTTTTTCCAATGGCCATGAGGTCTGGATTGAGGGTTTCTATGTTTTGTTCTGGGTCCTTTTTAGTTTGGTGTAAAGGGGCACCACCGTTTTGGGGGTCCCACGATTTGGACACACACACCGTTGCAAGTTGCCGTGAGACCTGGCGACCTGGCGAGGTGATTGTGGCTGTTGAGCTTCCAGACCTGACGCCGACTGGCAAGAAGTTGCCAGACGTGGTGAGGCGGGTGAAAAACCGCATGGCTCATGGCTGTGAAGCGGTGCTGTGGGAACTTCTTGAGGGGGTCGTTAGTAACCTCCAACCAAGGTCGCGAGGTTGCTACCCATTTGGCTATGTCTGGTTGTTTGGAGGGTCCTTTCCAATCCTAGCACTCGCTGAAAGGCATATTCTGTGTTCAGACCCGCATGCTCGGGAGAAACGCACAAATTTGGCCCAGATCTCCCTATCCGCCTGGTGGTTTGAGCCCTGAGCCCCTAAGGTTCAAAGTTTTCTTCCAACCGCCTGGCTGCGTTTTTCATTTCTGGTTTGCCTTTGGTCTTTTTGTCCATTGCATCTTGGCGGTGGACAAAAAACAGGACAAAGAGGAAAGAGGGCACCCATCATTGAAGCCATCTGCACAGCAGCGGCCGTTTTTTTCTACAATTTGAAACTGGGTGGTGTTTACTCTCCGATATTCTATCTTAAGGTTGACCATCACACAGAATCTGACAATTTGATATATATATATATATTTTCGTACCCGAAACCGACCCAGGGGTCCCCGGTTTTTCGGCAAATTGGGTTTGCTCTTCCCTTCATGGGTCAGCGGAGTATCACCCCAGAGGGGAATGTGTCAAACCAGGCAACTAGACCAAAACGAAGCCAACCTTTTTGAGGAGCTGGTTTTCACGCAATCAAGTTGGAAGTGCCACCCAAAGGAAGGGATTTGCCACGGGAAGCTTGGATCAAGAAATGGCCAGCCGAATTTAAGCACAACAACCAGGGACAACACCCCACATGTCCTTTGTGGCAAGTATTCATCATTTTGTTCTGGGCTCAGATGCGGAAAGGGTGTTTTTTTTTGCCTAGCCCTGGCACAGGGCTAACCCTGGCAGGTGGTTGGTTGGCTGTCGGTCGGTCGGTTGGTTGGTTGGTTGGTTGGTTGGTGGGCCGGTTGGTGGCCCGGCTGGCTGGCTGGCTGGCTGGCTGGCTGGCTGGCTGGCTCGTTGGCGGCTTGGTGGGACAAAGGTTTGGGATTGGTTCAGGGAAGGTTTAGGATAGGTTTGGGGTAGTCCGTTCGGGCCCGGGATCGTTTTCGACATCCTCAGCATCACCAGGTATTTGTTTAAGCTGGGTTTAGGCTCCGTGTGGGTTCCCAACCTATTGAGAGCAACTTTGCGGGGTGGTGGTGCTTGCGGCAGATGGTTTAGTGCTGGTTTATGGTGGGGCTTCTTGGGGTTGGTCTCGGGTGGGTTTAGGGCTGGTTTCGGGTGGGGTGAAAACTGGCTTCGGCCACGGTTGTGTTTAAGCCCACTTGGGTGGTTTAAGGTAGGTGGCAGCCTCCACCTACCTTAAACCACCCTAAGCTCACTTAAACAAGAACTTTTTGCCCAACAATAACAAAGGCACGCCAGATGCACAATCCTCTTTGCAAACAGCAAGCTTGCACAGGGGCTGTGCTTTTGCGTGATCCTCTTTTGGGTGCGCCTGTTTTAAGCTGGTTTGCAAACACTTTTTGACATGCCCATATCTCCCAAGCAGTTTCCTTGACCCTGCCACACTTGCTGTTCAAAAGAAAGGATGGCTCAGTTCGAGGTCATTCCCTCAGCTGTGAGCCAGCAAGTGCAGGACTCGCCGACTTGTACAACAAGCCCGGGTTCCTGTTGAAACCTGAGACCAGAAAAACAACCGCAGTGGAATATAGGGTGTTGGGGCTATACCAATCAAAGTGGACATGAACATTTGGCTTGGCATGTGTCCTGTGTTTGTTGAGGCTATCCGTTTCTCTTGCTTCATTCCGGGAAGCCGAACCTTTTGTCCTGGAAAGTCCCGTGCGTATTCCGGCGCACCCCTGAGCCGCAGGTTCCGACTCTGTGCCAGGGACCGGTCCAAGGCGCACCCTTGCCGCTGGGCAGGCAGGGCCTTCCAGAAAAGATGCCAAGGGGCATTTCTCAAGATTCAAGATAACCCAACGATTGAGACGTGGCAAAAGGACTGAACACGAGCTTTTTGCGATTTCGCCCTTTTGGGTTTGCGTTACTTTCATTTCAACGGGTCTGGTCTCGGGGAGACTGTGGGGGGTGCCTAGGCTTTTTTTGGGGGGTCTCGCCATTTGTTTAGAATAATGTTGGGGGTTTATGAATTGCAAGTATACTCCACTCACGACTAAATGTACCCCACGCCCATTCGAACATGTAGCCCCCTATGGTGTGAAGCGGTACACCCTGCGTCAACCTGCTGGCCACCTTTGCCCATCTTCCATGTGTCAGGCTTCCTGGGCCGGGGCGGCCGCGGTTTCTTTTTCTAGTTTCACTCTCGTTTCGGTCCAATTGTTTGTCTCGTTTCCTAATTCTGGTGTGCTGCGAGACTCTAGTAGGCTGCTATGGGTGGGGTTGATTGCTCGAGTGACTGCTTGGCCAGGTTGAGTGACAACAATCAAAATGAGAATCCACAGGACCAAAATGATTCAGGAAGTACGGCCAGAAATGATCCACGGAGGAGGTGCTCACATACATTTTCTCGGTTGGGGTTTGGAGGGGCTACACGTTGCACGCCTCAAGGCGTGAGCTTCACGTGGAAGAGCATCCGTGACAACATGTACATATGTAAGATTTTTTCACACATGCACGCATACATGCGTACTGACATAGATACAGCAATACAACAAGCATTTGGAGAGACTTGTACAGCTCAAAGTCGCCAGGTGGGGTTTCTGAACCGCTGGCGTTGGCCTTTGCTGGGCGCCCGGTCGACAGGGTCCTCGCAAAAAGGGGTCCGTACCCAGGGCCCAGGGTGCCGTGCGTGGACATGGGATTGCAGTCCACGGGCCCCCAATCAACCGAGCTGGTTTTAGTCGCATTGGGGGAGGGGTGTTGCCCAAACAATTAAAAATAACAAAATGCAATGGAATCCCCACTTCTTGGGTTTCGTTGGCTGCTGCGTCGCTCGCTTTCGGTCCTTGCAGATTTGGACAAACCCAATTGGGGACTCCATGGGCCAAGCCGGACCCCCGCCCTCTAAATGGTGGGGTCTCTTTTGCTTGGTGTCCTTCAAGACTATGTTCTATTTTAGGATAGACTAAGTATGAAACAAACTCAGATGTGATTTTCTGCACATGGCTGCCAAAGAACCATCCCTGCACGAAATGCCACGATCGACCTCAAGGGACAAATTGAGACACCTGAAACTTCTTCTCGGGTTGAGTTTTTCCAACTTTCGAATTACGGTAATTTGCCCAAACCTCTTCCAAGTGACAAAGCAAGCTCACTTTGTTGCACGGGAAAAGGGTGCCGTTTCTGACACTAGGGGGAAAAAGCAAGCTCGGGTCCCATGAGTTTTGTTATTTCTCTTCTTTCCATATTCCCAGGTTGGCTCCTTACCCTGGTTCCCAGCATGGCTCACCAACTTAGAAGTGTACCATGGCAGTGCCCCAGCACGAGAGGGCTTCATTCCGCTGCTAACGGCTCAAGCCCCAATCTTTGAAAGGGTACATAAGGGTATCACCCCTCGAAGCAACGGCTGAGCGTACGGACCCCCTTGGGTCCCACGTTCCATGGTATTGGCGATTGGCAAAGCAAAATATTTGGTCTATGCCGAAACGTCAAAGGGCTCGATCCGTACGTTCAGCCGAATGGCCGAGCGGTTTGGTAGTTTTGAAGGAATCATGGCCGACTCTCTCCTGGATTCCACAGTCATGTCCGTGGGGAGTATCATCATGTCCGTGGGGAGTTTCGGGCATCCAGAGCTCTGCCACAAGCCTTGTCTGCAACTGGGATGCAGTGGATTGGTTCACCCTTTTTGTATTTTTCTGTGCGGGGATGGACTTCCTTGAGAAAGTCAACCAGAAGAATTGTGTTCGACGTTTTTTTGTATGGAAATCCACGTGCCTCCCCTCGCAGCGACCAAAAATGAAGTGGGACCAACAGGTGTTATCTTATTAAAGCATAATGCATGCTTATTCAGCCCTCAATAAGGCTTAATAAGCCTTTATTTTAACAAACACTTATGAGGGCTTATTAAAGGCTTTCTTCGCCCTATTCGCCCTAAATACGGATGTTGCCCACCACGAGTCAACTGCCCACTGCATTAGCTACCTATCCCCATAAATTTGCACATGACCTTTCTACTGGACCATTGCATCCCCAGACCGGACACCGGATGAACAGTCCCGGCAACGCCCTCATTGTTTGCCAAATTGTGTGTTGTGTTCTTTTTGGGTGCCAAACCGCCGGGTCCGCCGGGTGTTGTGAGGCATGTGGCTCACGATATGTGCCCCAGAGGCGCCAGCTGCAACTTCTGCCACTTGCCTCACGCAGAAAATTTGAAGCTAAGCAGGAATCAACGCCAGGACGGCCGGGAAACCAAGGGGAAGTGTGGGTCCCAACAAGGGCACTGGGCTTTTGTTTTCCTGGATTCACCTGCAAAAAGTCCCAAGCTGCCACACCGTCTTTTTTTTGGAGCTGGTGCCCTTTTTTTTCAGGCTGAGTTTGTCTAAACATGTGGGAGGCCCCAGAAAATGTTTCCCCTAAAACCATGGGCGTGTTTTCCCATGTTGCCCTGGACAATCAGACAATCATGCGTGACCCCCCCCCCCAAACAAAGAGGCTTTGGTTTCCCTGTTGGCTGTCGTTCGAACCAAGCAATGCGAAGGGGGTACCAACCCCAAAAACAGACGAGCCACCCGAATGGGGAGGCTGCCCCTGGATTTAGATTCGGAGGACTTGCAAGATCTGGGCGAGGCGAATCTCACGGCGCTGATTTTGCCTCACCTCAGATCAAGGCCGTGGATCCGGCAAGTGAAATTTCACAGCTTCTTGTAGCTGATTTAGGATCCTTTACGGCAGGTGGTTTTTCCTTGAAGGAACCCTGTTCTGCGCCTGGATGTGGGGGCCTGTTTGGGCTCCGAGCTTCCAGGTGGTTTGGGGGTGAAGACATGTTAGCATCGCCCCAAAACCGATTCTGATTGGCCGTTTTGGAAGGGTTCTGCTAAGGGTTGCAATAAGGCCTAGATAAATCTGCATAACCGTCTTAGTAGACTGGGTTTTGCACGCTGCTCATGTGGACAATTACGGGGTTTAGGTTGCCACGTTCTGTGAAGCTCACGGGAAAGTCCCGTGAAGGTGACAAAGTTGCCAAAATGCTACATTTTGGTATGGGTGTGGCTCCTTTTTTTGGGACACACGTTTTGTAAAGAAGGCCTCACAACCTTGTCCAGGCAGCTGCCACCAAACAACGTTGCAGCCTTGGTAGAGCAACATTTGGCCACCTTACCGACTCAGAGGACGGAAGTAGCGCAAAAAATGGACACGGGCTCAACCCCTCAAGTTTCCTCTTACCAAAACCGGCATGTTGTGGTCGGGTCCTGGACCTCTTTTTGGATTTATGTTGCATCAGGAGCATTAAATATGGACCAGAATCCACAAGATTTGTGGCAAAGCTGAGAAGACCTCCTTCAGGTCTCCAACAAAAGCCCGAAGTCAGTCTCAGCTTAAACTCGCCATTCATAGTCCTTGTTCAGCTTGAAATGCATGGACATAAAGGTATAGATTTCCTTTTGTACCCTGGAAAGGTCCTTAAACAGGGGAACTGGTCCCAAAAAAGGGTTGAACCTTGCCCAACCCTGTGAGGACATGGGTTGCGCTTGGAAGGACGAGGCAACTAGATGCACGCCTTGCGACCTTGAGGTTTAG